GCTTAAGGTCATCCCTTTGGGATGAACGCGCCAGCAATATTTAAGCGCATGATGGACTCGCTACTGAGGGGTTTTCAAGTGGTCCACATGCCTCTGCTACCTGGAAGATGTAGTTTTCTTTCCGAGATTCATCAGTCACCTGCAACGCTTGTCCGCTATTTCGAAAGTCTTTTGCACCGCCAGTCTTCAACTCAACTCTTCAAAATGCCGCTTTGGCCACCGAGAGATCACCGTGCTCGGCCATGTAGTTGACGCTGCTGGTATACAACCTGGTCCAGCAAAAATACGTACTGTCACCAACTTCCCTATTTTACAGCCTTCAAAGGACGTTCGCTCGTTTTTCAGCCTGTGCTCATATTTTCACTGCTTTGTTAAAGATTTCACAATCATTGCGCAGCCCCTCACATGTCTTTTGAAAAAAAGACGCCCCTTTCTCATGGGGACCTGACCAAGCATCGGCTTTTTCCCATCTCGTAGACCGACTCATGTCACCCCCTGTGTTGGCCCATTTCCACGACTCTACGCCGACTGAAGTACGCACCGATGCTAGTGGTCATGGTATCGGCGCTGTCTTTGGCCAAAATCAACGTGGTCACGACTGCGTCAATGCTTACGCCAGCCGCCTCCTCTCCGCAGCTGAGCGGAACTATTCTATAACCGAGAAAGAGTGCCTTGCTCTTGTCTGGGCTGTCGGAAAATTTCGTCCCTATCTTTAGGGCAGACCCTTCACTGTGGTAAGTGATCACCACGCCTTATGCTGGCTGTCTTCACTCAAGGCTGACTTGGTCGTTGGACACTAGGATGTGAAGAATACATGTTCACTGTTGTCTACAAGTCTGGCCGCTTGCATCAAGACGGCGACTGCCTGTCCCGTTATACCATCGACCCACCAGACTCTTCGGCGAACGATACCATTCCGTCTGTGCTTGCCTCTTCAACATTTCTGCTGAGCAACGACGTGGCCCCACTCTTCGCAACATTATTGACCACCTCAACTCTACAGCTACCGATTCATCCCTTCGTTTCTTCTTGCTATGCGACAGCATCTTGCTACGTCGTAGTCTGATACCCGATGGTCCTGACCTCTTGCTTGTGATTCCGACACACCTTCGTTCGACAGCTTTGGTCCAGTTTCACGACGTGCCGATTGCAAGGCACCTCGGCGTTTCCCGCACCTACGATCGTGCACGCCGTCGGTTCTACTGGCCAGGAATGTATAGGTCAGCACGTCGTTACACGACCTCGTGCCATCTTTGTCAGCGCTAGAAGAAGTCAACACTCCCACCTGCCGGCTGTCTTCGATCACCCGAGGTTCTATGTGAGCCATTTCATCCTATCGGCTTTGACTTGCTTGGTCTGTTCCCTACGTCTGCCTCGGGAAATCGAAGGATCGCGGTTTCCACGGATTATGCCACCCTGTCCGCAATTACTTGTGCACTTCCTACCAGCTGCGCGATCGACGTAGCGGACTTCTTGCTCCACAAGGTCATCCTTCAGCATGGAGCACCGCCGCAGCTTCTGACGGACCGTGGAAGGCAGTTTCTATCTTGGGTCGTCAATTATACTTTAATGACTTGCTCGACCAAACATAAGCTAACCACGGCCTACCATCCACAGACAAATGGCTTGACGGATCGGATGAACCGAACGATTACCGACATTCTGGCAATGTACGTGTCTGCCGACCACCAATATTGGGATGCAGCGTTGCCTTTAGTCACATTCGCCTTAAATATGTCGTGGCACGAAACGGCGGGCTCTTCGCCAGTCTTTTCTTTGGCCGAAATCCAACTTTGCCTATGGACACAAACACGATGATGCCTCCTTCGACGTACTCACCCACTGAATACGCTCAAGAAGCCATAGCTCGCGCCGACCATGCACGTCAACTTGTGCGCGTTCAGCTAACTGACTCGCAAGTAGGCCATGAATCTCGTTACGACAGCCGTCACCGAAATGCCAGGATTTCTTGCCTACTTTCTCCCAGGATTTCTTGTTTTCCTGTGGTCTCAAGCACGCTGTATTAGGCTTTCTGAGAAGCTACTGTTCCCCTACTCTGGACCATATCGTGTGTGCCGCCGAGTGACCGACGTCACGAATGAAATCGAACAATTGCCTTCATCCTCGTCCACGACACCCCTCACAGACATTGTTCACGTTGTTCATCTGAAGCCTTACCTTACACCGGACTTCCTCAACACACATGTGTAGTGATCACCTTCTCTACCGTCTTTCTCCGGATGCACCTAGTCGGTGCCTTTGCCGCTGGAGGTTAACGTTATGTGCCACTCACCTAGAGGACGAAGAAGAAGACTAGGTGGTGCGTGCTATCGCCATCTTGGTTGTTTTCTCCATCACTACTATGGACTGCAAATATTACGCCCTTTTCTGTCATTCTCCTTGTAACAGTGCTAACTTCCACGAGAATAAATTTTCCGTTCTATAAGACATCCCGTCTCACTGTCTACTTATCTAATCGTCAACCTAGGGGAAACAAGTTCATACTCGCCTCGCACTAGTGAATATTTGGTTTCGAGTAGATAGTTTATTTTTTTTTTTTTTGATGGAATCTGAAAGTCGTAAGATGCTGGATTGGCATTAAACTTCATCGTATACTCAAGGTTTTTAATACTTCCTACGTGAATTTCGTCACGACCAAACCGATTCGTCGTAAAATGCGGGTCATCCCGAAACCGGGGCACGTATAATCTAAGTTCCATAGTATGTCCGTTTGAGGCGATTTTTGGTAATTGACCATGGTGCCCTTCGCTGCCTGATCATACATTTGCAGCAATTCTACAGCCTCTGCCAGCATAAGTTGTGACTCTTTCATGAGCGATTCCTTGATTCCTCAGCAACTGACTGTTCCATAATCTGCCAACAACTCTATCTCACAGAGCTGCCTCCACAAAATCCCCGAAGTCACACGCCTTTGCTAACTATCAAAGGGCACTGGCGTACTCTCGTATCGGTTCATTTGGCAGTTGCCGATGTAAAGTGAATCGACCTCGCTCGACCGATATGTTGACGGCGCTTCAGAGCTGATGCTCCAATAGGCCCGGCACCATGATGTAACCATTCCTTCCACTTGCCTTCTGTCATGTGTGACGTCTGTGCTGGCTCTGGGCCCTATGTGTGAAAGACGTGGCATCCCTCGACCCGCAGACATTGCCACGAAATGGCTTTTTGCCTTTGTGCGTCCATCCTCGTCGCTTCAAGGAAACTTATCAAATCGTTGCACTACTGCTACCAGGAAATATGAAATTGTCACATTTCTGGGAGTCTCCAGGAGAGGTGGTAGTGGTGGTAGTCCATATGCTTCCATTTCGTAGGTTATGCCTCTTGGAACGGCAAGAAAACAGTTCATCGCTAGCTTTGCCGACTGCACCAGAATGCGATATTGCCAGTATCACAAAGGGCCAAGTGATAAACAAACCAATCCATTGACGGGAAACCAATGCCTCTTATTCGATGGCAACCGCTTATATATTGATGATATCATTGACAGCGGCCACTACAGTCAAACCCTGAAAATTGATTTTGTTTTAAGATAAGGCTACGGATGGTATACTAACACACAGCTTCGCACACTTTGCAAAAGCGTTTGCTGCAATAATTTCTCGCATCAACTGGTTATAGCTGCGACCCAGGATGACACACTGGTCAAAGAATGGAGTGCATACAAAAGTCTTACGATGTATAGCCAGAAAACTACCAGAAGAAATCTTGTTTTTGACATTGCAACAGTGCCCGCACAAGCAGTCATTCACGCACCTACTACCAGTCTGTCTTATGTACACCGCTCACACGACAGAGGGAACATGTAGACGACAGCTAGGGAACATTCAACAAACTTAGCTCCATGCTTCTATTCACAGGTAGGTTGCACCTTCTTCTTAGGAGTAAAAACCCGTAGCCTTATCTGAAAAAGAGCTTACCGTAATTTTCTCAGGCGTGTTCTGTGAAGTGTTGATATAAGATTGTTAACTCGATATCAACTTACAACTAGATTCTTGGGTAACAAGTGCTGCGCCACACGTTTACCATTTTGGCATGTGTGCGGCATCATATGTGCAGCAAGGTGAGCTATATAATGTGCTATAGGGTCACACAATAAACAAAACTTAGATGTTAGCGCTCATACTGTCGTCTGTGTTTTTCTCTTTCTTGACCATATAGCATCTTTTCTTCATGCTCAAACTGAGCAGCACTAAAGCAATTATCATTTTATCTGCTTATGATGTTGGACCAGGGAACGACGCAGGAACTGCCACAGCGTGAGCAGCTGTCGAGGATTCCAGCATTTTACTTGAGAGCGTTGCCCTGAGCGATTACGTTATTGCCGATGTGGACGTGATTGTGTACAAGGAGCTGAGTAGTGCCGAGATCCTCAGGAGTGCTCGCGTGGATACCGCCACTTCCGATTCATCAGACGACGATGAAACCGCGCATGGTGTTTCGGCGGCCCCGACACCAGTAATCGCGTCGCAGGACATCGACTTCTTGGATATCTTGCATCGTTTCCTTGGCGCCCATGACGACAATGTTAGGAGGGTCGGATGGGCTCTTCACAGAATGTGAGCAGTGCATTCTACCGTCGCTCGTGCAAAAGCCCAAGCAGTCAAAACTAAGTGATTTTCTTTTTTAAAATAAACTGCTCCCTTAAGTGTCCTGCATATTTTTTTTCTGTTGATTTGCACTTTTTTTGCAATAATAAAATTACCACTAGAACAGAATTTTTTGCGATTCCCATGAATTTCTTTGTAGCAGTGTTTGACTGTATGCACAACAAAGCCCACTTTTTCTTCCTTATACAAGGTGCCTCTTATAAGCACAGTACCATGTATGCAGTCTCCTATCAGTGCAAACACACTCTTATACCTACTTGCCTATTACATCAGTTTCTCTTATAAGAAGGTTTAGCTGTATGAGCAATTGTGACAGCCATGACTCAAACCACATGGGCCCGACCACTACTGCAACTACAAAGGCTCACCTACCGATCGTCCAAAGAAGACTGCACTTGTCTCTGGCCAGAGAGACACTGCCACAGCTGGGCATCAGGCTTGACTTCCTGATGCGGCCCCTGCATTGCAAGCATGAATGAGTAAAGTGTCTGCTTCAAGATGTCTTCTGCAGCGTCATCATTTCAATGCATGTAATAGTTTCATACAATAGTTTCCACAGTTTACATTAAAAATAATCAATTTTCTCTTCTCTAATTACCAGTGAAACTTTTATTGTCATATTACTTCAAATCAAACATGTCACGGAGTCGTGGCATTGTCGAAAGCTGCAGTTGTTTGCAAAATGAAACTTTATATTTGATCGAACTTGTACTGAAACAGAAACTCGGATTACCGAAAGAAATGCGCTTATACACTGATATAGGTGAACAGAGTGTGGGCTGCCAATAAATGAATTATCATTGGGATGTGCCATGTTTTATACATTACGCGATGAACTTTCAAACCTTAACACTGGTGGTGGCAAACATTCTAGATTAAGCTTGAGTGTTCGTGTCTTGCGAGCAATCTTAACAAAATGATCTACTAACATCGTCAAGCTTCCCGAACACTGAGGCACTGTATGCGCCGAGCATGGCTGACAGGCTTTGTGGCAGTAAACCAAATAAAGCAAGATTAAAACAACAAACGTGCGGCAATGCCCCTCTCTAAAAAAGCATTGCCCTGATGCTTAAAAAAGAATATAAAACAAAAATAAATGCAAGAAATAACAATCAAGCTATAGGGGCTAGTTGGTTGCATGTAGTTGACACTTGCTACATGCTGTTTGAACATTAAGAAAGACACACAAAAAGCAAAGGTATAAAACAACACAAGCGCCAACTAATGACTGTTTATTTGAAGGAAACGTGAAAATGTAGGTCAAGAACAAAGAAGCCTGCTGTATTTGTACCGGGCTGGCACTGCATGTGGCATCCCCCAAAATTATAGTGACGGCTGTGAAACCTCTCCTGGTTTTTGATAAGCAGGTGGGCAAACTGTCGAGCTTTTTTTGCACATTCCAAATAAGTAGCGATGCCGAGATTTTCTTCATCGATGGTAACTGGCAGCATTGCGTCAAGTGTCGTTGCCGGGCTCTTTCTGTAGACCAAATTGTACGGCAACAGCTGCATCGTTTCTTGTACTGGCATTTGTATGCGAAGGACACATACAGAAAGATGGAATCTTATGTCTTGCATTTGAAATCGGCGTACATGACCTGCATGTTGGCGATGGTCTTGTTTCGTGCTCAGTGAGGCCATTGGTCAGTAGTCAGCAGTGGTTCGACAGTGGCTAGTTTGGCTGTATCTCAAAATTGCCTGAGTTGACACCGCATGGAAGGCTTGTGGGAATTGAGGCTGGCCCGCTGCCTTTGCGCGGGCTTTCCCGCCTTTTCTGCCATTCTCATGTCCCGACATGTCTGCCCTCCTTTGCCGTCAGCCGCGCTGGGAAGGGCGGAGTGACGTTTAACTCCCTCACCCGGTAGCGGATGTTGACTGTGGCGCCGTGCGCGGGGACCCCCGAGAGGTTTTCGCGCGCTGCGTCGGGAGCGGTGAGTACAGTACGGGACTTGAAACGGTGAGCCACGCATTCTTTTCCGTCCGTCGAGTCCCGTCGCTCGGGGCTCGTCGGACTTCGCTGACGGCGCCTCGCCCCGATGCGAACGCTCACCTTTTGTTGCCCCGCTGCGTACTCACGGCCGAAGGGCAGTACGGTGTCCTAGTGCGTGGCCTAGCTACGCCGACCCGTCTCCCTTCGAAGCCAACGCGAGCGCCTTTGCCCTCGCTCGAGCAACCGGGCCCCCTTTGTCTCGGTGTCTCCGTGGATTACCTTTACCGCGGAGACGTGCTCGTGGCACCCTGTGTAGTACTTTGTGCTCGTGGCGTGGATAAGCCTACTTGCTTTCCCGCCGCGCCTTTTTGCAACGGGCTGTACTGCGTTTGGTGTTGCCACAATAAAGTGTTGCGACTTTGAGCAGTATCGTGTTTCCCGCCACGGCGACGGTTGACGCGTGCCCTGCGGCTCGCTAAGACCGGACCCACGCTGGTGGCCGTACTCCTTCGGGATACGTGTACACCACAGGCTGTATGTCTGAGAGTGATGAGAATCTCTGGGTGCCATTATGCAGGATAATGTCTTCAACAAAGAACTTTGTTACCTCAGTGGCACTGCCTATAGGTAGGGCCCTCGCTTTGGCATAGCGGGTGAAGTAGTCGGTGGCGATGATCCATTTATTTCAAGTTGACGTATGGGGCAGTCCCAGTAGGTTCATATTGATTTGCTGAAACATTTGGTGACATGGCTCGATCGATTGGAAAAAGCCTGCTGGTTTTATTGCCAGTGTCTTGAGTCACTGAAATTCTTGGAATGTCCTGAAGTAACGAGTGACGTCGGTTGCAAGGCATGGTCAGCAGTACTCTTCCTGTATTCTCGCGAGCATACAGAAAACAACTAGGTGTCCAGCCGTCGAGCCTTCGTGTAAAGCCTGGAGGACTTTTGGCAAAAAGTCCGGCTACTGAACACTGCTACTGAACGGAGACGACTACTCAACACACTGCTAGTAATGGTCTAGAGCAAACGATGTCTGCCGCACACACGTGCTTCTCGCTCCTCGCTGGCATGTTGTGAACGTGCATGCGGGGGTGGCATTGGGAGGGAAAGTTCACCAGCTGCACCAGTGGCGCTGGCTGTTTGTGTGCGCTTTTCACGCCGCGACAAAGAAGAGCCCTTTGCAGAATTTGAGCACTGCTCCTTCAGAATGGGGCGTAAATGCATTGTGCTGAACCGCTAAAGCGGTTACGCGCCATGCAAGGAGAAGGTAATCAATTTAAAAGCTTCTATTGACCTGGGGAGGCTGGAAGTGTGGGCCCGCGGCACACCTAGAAAAGATTGTGAGCTGACATCTCGTGACTAAATTTGTGAGAAACACTTCTCGGACGGCGACTCTTGCCACGCCATGCCACATGACATACAGATGTATGTTACGTGACATGCTACATGACACTGTATGACATTCATCATCATCATCATCATCATCAGCCTGACTACGTCCACTGTAGGAGAACTGTAGGAGAAAAGCTTCTCCCATGTTCCGCCAGTCAACTCGGTCCTGTGCTTGCTGCTGCCAATTTATACCCGCAAACTTCTTAATCTCATCTGGCCACCTAACCTTCTGTCTCCAATTAACCCACTTGCCTTCTCTAGGAATCCAGTTAGTTACCCTTAATGACCAGCGGTTGTCCTGTCTACATGCTACATGCCTAGCCCATGTCCATTTCCTCTTCTTGATTTCAACAATGATATCCCTTAACCCCGATTTGTTCCGTAATCCACTCTGCTTTCTTCTTGTCTCTTAAGGTTACACCTTCCATTTTCCTTTCTATTGCTCACTGCGTTGTCCTCAATTTAAGCTGAATCTTCTTTGTAAGTCTCCAGGTTTGTGCTTCGTAGCTAAGTACTGGCAAGATGCAGCTGTTATATACCTTTCTCTTGAGGGATAGTGGCAATCTACCCGTCATGATTTGAGAGTGCTTGCCGAATGTGCTGCACCCCATTCTTATTCTTCTAGTTACTTCAATCTCGTGGTTAGGCTCTGCGGTTATTACCTGCCCTAAGTAGACATAGTCCTTTACAACTTCAAGTGCACTGTTACATATTTCGAAGCGCTGTTCTCTTCCGAGGTTGTTGTACATTACTTTGGTTTTATGCGGATTATTTTAAGACCTACTTTTCTGCTCTCTTTGTCTAACTCCAAAATCATGAGTTGCAATTCATCCTCTGAGTTACTCAGCATTGCAAAATCATCAGCGAAGCGCAGGTTACTAAGGTACTCTCCATTAACTCTTATACCTAACTGTTCCCATTCTAGGCCTCTGAAAACCTCCTATAAGAATGCGGTAAATAGCATTGGGCAGATCGTATCACCCTGCCTTACACCCTTCTTGATTGGTATTCTGTTGCTTTTTTCATGAAGCACTATGATAGCAATTGATACCCTGTACACTTCTTCCAGGATGTTTATATATGCTTCGTCGACGCTCTGATTCCACAGTGTCTGCATGACTGCTGATATTTCTGCTGAGTCAAACGCCTTTTCATAATCTATGAAGGCTATGTATAGTGCTTGGCTATACAGAGAAACCTCGTTAAACCGTACCCGCATAAACAGTAGTTTAGTTTTAAAAATAGTGAAGTCAAATCCCCGACTCGGCGGCCATTGAACATAATGCATTTTGTATCCGCACTAAGCCGTACCAGCTTATCGCGTATGTATCGGTTAATGAGTAGTTTTTACAATTTTCGTTGCGCACTCGCCGCGGCATGTTGTCCCCCACTGGGCGTCCCGACAGAAAAGCAAGCCCCAGAGATCAAAACACGCCACGCTTGTTTGTGCTGATGATGACGGCTGGATGGATGGATGTGGCTGTACCCTTTAGATCGGGCGGCGGCTAACGCCACCTAGCCGTAACACTTAGTGAACTAACCAGTATATTTATCTTTTTTTTTTCTTTAAATAGTGAGGTTGAGGATTTGTACTTTGCAGTGAAGGGTTTAATTTTCACTCGTGCCTTGACTATAGCCACCAATCAGATAACCTCCTTCTAGTTAAGTCTACCCGCTCAAAGTCTATTTTGCCCTCTCTGTCCCCAAACCCCAGTGCTTTGAAAAACTCTGCACCATCATCCTAAACTAGAGAATGAAACCCTTTATAAAACATTATCAAGTGTTCGGCAGTTTCTTCTTCCTCTCTACACACACTGCATACTGTATTACCCCTTCGTATTTGGCCCGATATGTCTTGGTTCGCAATACTCCTGTCCTGGCTGTACTGTTTTCAATGCTGGTCAAGTATGGATCGAGGCAACTACACGATGGCAGGAACAAGAGTGCCTTCAGGGTTTATTGTCACGCTCTTATATTGGCGAAATGTGTGATAGCAGTGATATCGTGACAAGGCAGGCAGCGCAGAGAGGGCATGCCTGATACATCCTCTGAGTGGTAAGGAATGAGTTCAGGTTATTTCATTAAAGGCCGCATCGTAACGAAGCCGCTGCGGTGGCTTAGTGGTGCAACCAGATCT